GCTCCCCCGCTAGATAGAGGGAAATGGTGAAGGTCAATAACAGGGAGCACCCATGAAGATCTAAAGATATAAATTCTTGCTCATCCTGTTGGTGGGAAAGGAAATTGCTTTCTTTGGTAGGCAATCTAGCAGCACCCTTACCCTTAAACACCGCTCCCCATTCCTGAAAAGGCTGCTACGCATGGAACATTCACCCCAGCACTGCCAGCAACAACGCGACATGTGGGAGGTGGTGCACAAATCCTTCCTCTGGAATACAATGCAGCCCTTACAAAGGGTAGTCCCCGCCGGGAAGGAACCAGGGAGGGATGCCAAGTGACTGTCATAGGTGTGGCCTTGAAAAGATCGCCTAGACTGCCGTTAAAGAGAAGAAACAGGTCGGAAAACGACATGTACAGCCAACAAGGCCAAACCCCGTGATTGTAGATGGAAGAGAAAAAGGTCCAGAAGCAGGTGCCCAAGAATGCTCCTCCGGGGAGGGAAGAAGACTGTGCCAGTGGGGCATTTTACGGTCCGGGTTTGAAATTTTTTTAAATTTTCAATCCCACTATTTTATAAAAGATTGTATTTATTTATTTGATAGAGAGAGAGAGAGAGAGAGAGAGAGCACAAGCAAGGGGGGCAGCAGGCAGTGGGAAAGGGAGAAGCAGGCTCCCTGGAGCCCGATGCAGGGCTCGATCCCAGGACCCTGAGATCATGACCTGAGCTGAAGGCAGAGGCTTAACCCACTGAGCCACCCAGGCACCGCTTATTTATTTATTTGATAGAGAGAGAGCACAGTGAGAGAGGGAACACAAGCAGGGGGGGTGGGCAAGGGACAAGTGGCTTCCTACTGAGCAGGAAGCCCAATGCAGGGCTCGATCCCAGGACCCTGGGATCATGACCGGACCCGAAGGCAGACGCTCAATGACTGAGCTACCCAGGCGCCCCCCTGAAGTAAGTTTAATCACCACCCTCGGACAGGTACAATAGGAGTCTAAATAGGGGGGTACTCCTGGGAGCAGCCTGGGTAAAATTTTTTTAAAGGAAGAAAACTCAAAAGACCCAACAGTTAATTTACAAGGTGGCTGATGAAACATGAAAAACTGAAAACCTCACTAGTGACCCAATGAATGAAATCAAAGGAACAGACATGCTTTTGTCTGTGAGATTGGCAAACATGGCATGAGTGACAGAGAGTGGCTAGGGAAAGAGCAGTTTTAGTAAAACAGACTTATTATACACACATTGGCTTAAGGCAGCATTCCAGGACTCACAGATCTATTCACCATTCAATAGCCATCTTAACTGCACGCAAAAGTGTAAAAATGCCTAAATTCCATAGTGTAAGAAAAGCAAACATCTCAAGAACTCTATCATGAAAAATGTCCAAGGTGCTCAGATCCATTAAAATACGCTGTTATGTGGGGCGCCTGGGTGGCTCAGTGGGTTAAGCCTCTGCCTTAGGCTCAGGTCATGATCCCGGGGTCCTGGGATCGAGCCTCACATCGGGCTCTCTGCTCAGCAGGGAGCCTGCTTCCTCCTCTCTCTCTCTCTGCCTGCCTCTCTGCCTACTTGTGAGCTCTCTCTCTCTCTGTCAAATAAATAAATAAAATCTTAAAAAAAAAATACACTGTTATGGGGCACCTGGGTGGCTCAGTCAAGGGTCCGGCTGGGTTTCAGCTCAGGTCGTGCTCTCCCATCATAAGATCAAGCCCCACGTTGGATTCTGCACTCAGTAGGGAGTCTGCTTTGGATTCTCTCCCCCTCTGCCCCTCCCCATGCCCCTTTAAATAAATAAATCTTTAAAAACAAAGCAAAACAAACACCACAACGCAGTTTGCTAAGTGTTCTGGCAGAAGTCAGTCCATGCAGCTTGGGAAACACAGACTATAGGTACCAAACCCCAAACGGATACCTGGTACCTGGAGCCGTGAAAAAGCCAGATGTGCTGGCCCCTGGACAGGGCAGGCCTGGCCATGGGCTCTGCCCTCCTGGGCTTCAGAGGTCACTGGTCAGTCATTTATTCCCTTCTCAGATTTCACTTCCCTCCTTTTCCTCCACTCTTTCCTCCTTATAATGTCTTATAAACATCTTCAGGGTTGTCATGTCTCTCAGAACCTCCATCCATTTATTCCCTGCTCTCTCTCACTTCCATCCTGTTTTAGGGGAAGAGAAACAGTAGTAGGCACGACTCACACTGCCGTGGAAATGGAAATAGGTGCACCAGGTGTATCAAAACCCAAACAATGTGAACACCCTTTGATCCAGCGATCCCATCTTCAGAAATTTATCCTAGGGAAAAACATCATGGGTGTGGACAAAAATCTGTCATCAAAGACGCATAAAGAGGTTTATGAAAACATTGTTTAAAAGCAAAGTACTGAAAACCATCTAAATGTCCATCCAAATGAGATAATTAGCTAAAAAGTTAGGGAGCAATATGGAAAATGGTACTGTTGAGCAGCTATTTAAAGCTATGCTATGATGCTATAAAAATATTCAATGACACAGGAAAAGTTTTATGGTATATAGTTGAGTGAAAAAAGGAGGGGGCCGAATATTGACAATAAGATCATATAGAGAGAGAGAGGAAATGAAAGAGTGAGCTCAAGCACTAGATGACTTTAGCTATAGCACTAATGGTAAATTTGGATATTATGTAAGCCTCAGTTTCCAAACCTATAAAATGGGTACAATAAAAGCTACTTGACAGGGCTCCATAAGATAAGGTTTATGAAGTACTTAGCACAGTACCTGGCACATAATAAACCCTCAAAAGCATTAATGGTGGCTCAGCTCATTAGTTTATTCATTCCCTCAAGCATTTATTGAGAGCCCTTGAACTTGCTACTCTGTCTGGAACTTTGCTTGGTAACCTTATTGATTCTTCAGAATTCTGTTTAACTGTACTGTGACACCCTACCCCTCCTGCATTCTTCAAAATAAAAACATGCTTTGGCTCAGGTCATGATCTGGGGGTCCTGGGATTGAGCCCCGCATCTGGCTCCCTGCTCGGCGGGAAGCCTGCTGTTCCTCTCCCACTCCTCCTGCTTGTGTTCCCTCTTGCACTATGTCTCTCTCTGTCAAATAAATAAATAAAACCTTAAAAAAATAAAAGGGTTAAAACGGTAAATTTATGTGTATTTCACAATAAGGCTTGGAAAAAAGAATAAGAAGCCAGATGGCTTGATTCCATTTATACAAGGTATGAAAACAGAGGAAACTAATCTATGGTAACAAAAGTCATAATACTCTTTGTAAGGTAATGGCTGGAAGAGGACATGAAGGGGGACTTTGGGGTCATTTTCTATTTTTTTTTTAAAGATTTTACTTATTTATTTGACAGATCACAAGTAGCAGAGAGGCAGGCCAAGAGAGAGAGAGGGAGGGGGAAGCAGACTCGACGCTGAGCAGAGAGCCTGATGCGGGGCTTGATCCCAGGACCCTGGGACCATGACCCGAGCGAAGGCAGAGGCTTAACTCACTGAGCCACCCAGACGCCCCCATTTTCTATTTCTTTATCTCAGTGCTGGTTCCACTGAGTTCAGTTCCGATCAGTTCAGTTGGTGAAAACTACCGAACTCTTCACTAGTCTGTTTGCCCTCTCTGCCTTTTTTATACTTCAACCAAAAGTTCACCAGAAAACAACAAAAATCTGACATGTCTTTTGAAAAAAAGTGTTTTTAAAGATTTGTTTACGTATTTTAATGAGAGGAAGGGAGAGCGTGAAGGGGGTAGAGGCAGAGGGAGAGGGAGAGTACTAAGCAGACTCCTCGCTAAGCATGGAGCCCCTGGGGAGGGGGAACTCAATCTCATGACCCTGAGATCACGACCTGAGCTGAAATCAAGCGTCTGACGCTTGGGGCTCCTGGGTGGCTCAGGTCATGATCCCAGGATCCTGGGATTGAGCCCCGCTTCAGGGTCTCTGCTTAGCCAGGAGCCTGCTTCCTCCTCTCTCTCTCTCTGCCTACTTGTGATCCCTGTCTGTCAAATAAATAAATAAAATCTTTTAAAAAAGAGAGAGAGAGAGAGAGTCTGACGCTTAACAGACTGAGCCACAGAGCTTCCCCCCAAATTTTAAGTAATCCCTAGGACAAGCGTGGGGTTCGAACTCACAACCCGTCTGTGCTAGCCAGGGCTCCCTAAAGAATTTTAATTGCAAAAATCTAAGTTCTTGGGAGCTGAATTTCTCCTGTTTTCTTCGGGGCTCCTTTCCTTGTGCCTTAAGCCTGCGCTGAATCCGTGCCTTCTTTGAAAGGCTTTCTGGCTTTTTTTACCAAGGTCCCACAATACCTGGAGCCAACCCAGACGGTAACTAACTGCCTCCGGCCTCCCGACTAGCCCTGAATTGAACTTTTGGAGGTCTCTAGAGAGACCAGTCCCTACTGATCCCGCTAACCAGGAGCTCAAGGTGCGTTACAGAGCAGTAATAAATCCAATCAGCCCTGGAGGCTGGGAGTAAGGCCAAAAGAACAAGCCCGGATCGGGGAAGGGCGGCTCACGATCTGCCCGGCTATGCCAGCACGCCGGTCCTCCAGACGCGAAGCCACGCCTTCCCCCAAGCACCACCCCCAACTCTATGTGGTCCTGCCCCTCCCCCGTGGGCTCTTTAGGCTCCGCCCAGTGAGCGTGGCCCCGCCCCGGGAGGGCGACGATCCCGCCAACAATAACTCCGCCCCTTCTTCCGCTAAGAAACCAGTCCTTTTTAAAGAATACGTTTACGTCAGCCCGCCTTACGTAAACTTACGTCATCAGTGCAGAGCGCGGAGGCGGGATTTCCTGTCTCTGATTCAAACAGCTTCCGGGAGAAGCCGGAAGAGACGGGACCCTGGACAGAATCGGAGATAGCCAGCCCCTCCCCCGGCCCCTACGGAAAGGTGAGTCCATGGGCCGTCCTGGCGAAGTCGAAACAGTTAGTCTGGCCGTTTCAGGTGAGGACTTCTTTCCCTATCCAGGCACAGTACCGGCTCAATCCCCCTTTAATTTCCCATGACTCCCCGCGTACTCAAGCCCCGCCTCCAGGCCCCCAGCCCCGCCCCAAAGTTTGAGGGGTGTGAATGGTTTGTGACCCCCCTCACCGGACTCTACCCCTTGTGGGCTGGGAGAATTGAGCTTGGCGGCCAGGAACTAGGTAGCCTTTCGCCTCGGGTGGGCCCACCAACTCCTCTCCAGCGTCGCGGGAATAGGGCCGCCCCACGCGGAGTCTTCGCCTCAGAAAAGGCACGGTCGGGACCCCTCCTCACCGCGCGGTCAGGGTCGCCTACAGACTGAGGAGACCCCCAAAGGCCTCTGAGGCGGGAGACGTGGGGTCCTCCCCATCCCAAGAAAGTGCCCTGTGTCTGTGCCAGTCGTTTTCGCCTCTGCCGCAGTTTCCTTTTCTGTAAATCAGGATTGGTGACATTAACCATCTTACCGTTAGGGGCTAGTTGTGGGAGCGATAAGTAATTGCTGCCATTTATTTACTGAACCATTGCAATGTGCCAGACACTGTGCTAAGTATTTTGCTTCGTTGATTTCCCGTCACCGTCAAAACACCTTATGAGGTAGGTAATATTTTTAACCCCATTTTACCGATGAGAAAGCCGAGGCTCTGAGAAAGTTGTCCGAGATTAGAGAGCCAGTAAGAGGCAAGGCCAGGATTATAATTAGGTTTTTTTGTTTTTGTTTTGTTTTGTTTTGTTTTACTCCAGGGCCCATGTTCTAAATAAGGATGTGGAAGCTATTCAGATGTTGCTATGTACTACAGATATTCTTTGAGCGGCTACCATGGCATTATGCTGGGCACTGGGGTACATAGAAAAATACATGTGATCCTATATTTCAGAAGTCTAGTAGAGAAAAAGATGGACTGGTAGAGGAGTATAATGAAGTTTTATAGGTATTGTGAGAATACTCTGTTGATGCTAATCATCAGATTGGATTTGCCTGGGGACAGTTGTGAAAGCCACACATTCTGTGAGGGAAAGAGTAGGTACTCTAAAGGAGCAAGCCACTGTCCTTCTGCCTTTCTAAGAAATCGCCAGGGGAGAAACTACACCATGCATGAAGAGAGATAGGGATATGGATTGTGAGAGCTATTTTGGAATCTTTTCCAAATCCTTTCCAGTTAGTGGTTTTGCAGTTTTGAGCCTCTGGTGGTGTTTCTGGTGTCTGTCCTCCTTCGCTTCCTAGGACTTGTCAGAAGGATTTCAGAGGTGGCAGACACGGTGCCTGCTGCATGATGTCTGCTGATGGCTCCTGCAGATGTGTCCCCTTTGGGGTGGTCTGACCATGCTTCTGATGAAAAATTAATTTTTTGGTTCTTGACATCTGAACCTGAGTACGTGACCACGAATGAGGTAGGGTTCAAATGGAAAAATCTGGCAAGAGTGGCTGCACTATGCCTCCAGAAGACCCTAAAATAAAATATTTCAGGCTTTTTTGGTCTCTCAGAAGCCACCTTGGAGGCTTCTCAGGGGGGCATAGTTGCTAGACCAAGTGATAGAAATCCTAGAGAAACTCAGGGCATAAGGAAGCAAACGTTTTTTCCCCACCTACCAAAAAAGCAACAGCCAGTGACAGCAGCAGTCACCACAACAAAGCCATGAAATGTTCCTGATGATCCACGCTCATTGGGAGCTCGAAATGTGAGAGAGGAAAGATGTGGAACCTGAAAGCTAGTGTTTCACAATAGAGGCAGAGGGTAAGTCCTTAGCTTTAGGTTGGGGGTCCAAGGGTAGGAAGGTTTGTTCCCCCTTCTGAAGGACACTGAACTCCATTTTCTTTCAGGGCTGAGTCAGTTAGGACCTGAAGAAACTAGGAACCTGGTTGCAACCCCACATGCCTTGCTGATGCTATCCCCCTTTGTTCCTGCAGTGTCGACCCAGTCAGCAGCCAGGCCATGGAGTTCTCTGATGTCACCCTCATTGAGGGTGTGGGTAATGAGGTGACTGTGGTGGCAGGTGTGGTGGTGCTGATTCTAGCCTTGGTCCTAGCTTGGCTCTCTACCTACGTAGCAGACAGCGGTAGCAACCAGCTCCTGGGCACCATTGTGTCAGCTGGAGACACATCCGTCCTCCACCTGGGGCATGTGGACCATCTAGTGGCAGGCCAAGGCACCCCAGAGCCAACCGAACTCCCCCATCCATCAGAGGGTAATGATGAGAAGGCTGAAGAGGCTGGCGAAAGTGGGGGAGACTCCACAGGGGAGCCTGGAGCTGGGGGCGGTGTTGAGCCAAGCCTCGAGCATCTGCTTGACATCCAAGGCCTTCCCAAAAGACATGCGGGCCCGGAAAGCAGCAGTCCAGAGGCTCCTCTGAGATCTGAGGATAGCGGCTGCCTCCCTCCCAGCCCTGGCCTCATCAGTGTGCGGCTCAAATTCCTCAATGACACCGAGGAGCTGGCTGTAGCCAGGCCGGAGGATACTGTGGGTGCCCTGAAGAGGTGAGTGGACCGGAAAGTGGGCAGCTGCTCATACCCCACGCCCACAGCCCTTGGTAGCCTAAGAGGAGCCCGGTATCCAACTGGGAGTGGCGGGGAGGTATTGGGTCCGGCCCCCACCAAGGATGGGTGGGATACCTCTTAGAAACTTACCCTTCACTTCTTCCCTCATTGCCTTGTTTCTCTGGCCCAGGCCTGTCAGCCTTCTCATTCCTCGCCTTCTGTCTTGCCTTCTATCTCTTTCGTCCTCACAGTAAATACTTCCCTGGACAGGAGAGCCAGATGAAACTCATCTACCAGGGCCGTCTGCTGCAGGACCCAGCCCGCACACTGCGTTCCCTGAACATTACCGACAACTGTGTGATTCACTGCCACCGCTCACCCCCAGGGTCAGCTGTTCCAGGCCCTTCAGCCTCCCTGGCCCCCTCCTCGGCCACTGAACCCCCCAGCCTCGGCGTCAGTGTGGGCAGCCTCATGGTGCCTGTGTTTGTGGTGCTGTTGGGTGTGGTCTGGTACTTCCGTATCAATTACCGCCAGTTCTTCACAGCACCTGCCACTGTCTCCCTGGTGGGGGTCACTGTCTTCTTCAGCTTCCTAGTATTTGGGATGTATGGACGATAAGGACATAGGGAGAAAATGAAAGGCATGGTCTTCCTCCTTTATGGCCTCCCCCCTTTCCTGGCCAGAGCTGGGCCCAAGGGCTTGGGAGGGAGGGGTGGAAAGGATGTGGCAGGTCCTCCTCCGTAGGACATAGGAGGCAGGTAAAGGGCCTCCCCTTCACGTCCACAAGGGTACAGACAGCCCATCTCTGTGCAAGCACAACTCAGGTAGAAACAAGGATGTCATCTTCCTTCACTTGTAGGGTCCTGAAGTTCAGAGCTGAGCTGATGGCCCAGCTCAGTGGGGAGCCTGGGCTCCGAGGATTCCCTCCCCGCTGTGGCCCTAGCTCTTCCCATTGTCCTGCATGTCTGCTCCTCAGTACCCAGGGCCGCCTGCCAGGGCAGCTCAGCATGGCCCCAGCATACTTCTGTAGGGAGCCTGGAGTATTTTTCTGTTTCTTAAGGGAATATCCGTCTTTTGAGACTGAAGTCACACAGCAGGAATGAAGGTCGTGTCCGCTTCCCTTACAGGCACCTAGCCGCCTCTTACCTTCTCCCTCCGCCCCTGTAGCAGGAATAGGATGTTCTCTGTGTTCTGGATAGTTTCCAGTGTTCTTCCCTTTTTTTCAAAGCACTTTGCTTGTATTTTTTTTTTTTTTTTTTTTTTTAAGTAGTCCTTTATAGAGCTCAGTCAGAAAGGGGATTGGGGCACAAAGCCAAGCCCCCAGCATTGGGAGAGGCCAAGCCACAGCTGCTGCTACCCTAGGCCTAAGGCTGTAAGCAAGAGACAGCTCTGGCCCTCAGCCAGAGTCCTACCCTGCCCAGCTCCAAGGACGAGCTTTGGGTACGGAGCCCTGGGTCCCAGGCCCTTGCTTCTGGGCTTCTCAGATGGAGGGTCAGTGTCTGTGACTAAATAAAGTTCCGTTTTATGGCTGTAGAGCCTCCTTCTGTGACGTTAAGAGAATGGCTTTGCTCTGCCCCCATTGACATGGTAAGGAGGGTGGATAGGCCGGGCTACCAACGGGAGATGCAGTTTATTTACACCAGCAGCCATGGGGGCAGGGGAAATACACAGCGTTTACAAAGTTAGCTACCTGTACAGGATGGATTACATATGCAAAAATAAAAATCTCAAGACCACAGGACAGCGTGAGCCCCACCCCCCTCCCCCAATGACCCCAGCATGCGGTAATGCCAGGCGGGTGGCCCCTGGGCATGCGGGGGGGAGTGATGCATGGAAGGAAAAGCCACCGGCCATGGAAATTAGTACAGAACCCCCCCACACACACTCAGACACATGATAGGATACAGGTGGACGACACCTAGCCGGGGTGGGAAGGATGGGAATTGAGACCCACACAGCCTGCTGTTAGAGGGAGGGGAGTGGAGAGCTCCTAGCCCCTGTTCAACTACATGGTAGGGGGGGCACACTCTCCCCAGAAGGAAAGGGGTTTACTCCCTCAGGGTCCCTGCTGGACCAAGCCCATCTCTTACCCAGCTTGGGCAGGGGGCTGTGCCCTGAGGGCGGGCCAAGGAACAATGGGGAAGTGGATGTGGACAAACCAGTTCCCAAACTACTTCCCACTTCTCCCTCCTCCAACCAGAGGGGGGAAAGGGAGAGGCTAGAGGGGAAAGGGTATGGTAGGGCCTGAGCTGCAGCTGCCTCTCAGAAGGGAGAATGGCCTGAGCCGTCCTCCCTTCACCTTCAGCCCACTCCCAAGACTTCATTTGGAAGCAGGCTGGAGGCTGGCTGAAATCCTCCTTTCCCTCTGGCTTCCCCTTAGAGGGAGAAGACTATGGAGGGTCAAGAACAGAGGAGCCCAGGCCCCAGGATTTATTCTAACTCCTGCCAAAATTTGTTTGGCTTTTTAAAAAATAATCACAATTCTTGGGTTAAAAACCAATTTGTAACCAGGCATCAGCCACAATCAGAACCACCCCAGGGGCGGGGACTGGGGTTCCAGACAGGGTATTGCAGCCCTATCTCTTGTTGTTCCCTTAACCCTCTAGGGTCCCTAACCCAAAATCAGTCCAACCAGTCCTGGGTACTAGCTACCCAAATGTGGGATGGCTCCTCCTGGGAAGAGGGCAGGGTTCACATCCAGCAAATGCCAGAGAACATGGCTCAGGGTCAACTCCATCCCTGTGTCAGTCAGCTCTGCTCCCAGCCCAGACTGTAGTCCTCCAGCTCGGCTCCTGGGAGCGATGGTGCCCACGTGGAGGTGGGACGGTACATCTCTTCAGGATGTAGACCAGGCAGGTGGGCACACTGGCATGACAGTCCCACAGAGGGGCAATGCCGAGGCACGACAGCCCTCCACTGACAACCCAGAGCACAGAGACTAGCCTCTGCCCACCCCAACTCCTAGCAAAGGGGGAGAGGTAAAAGATCAGGATTTTCCTCAGAGCCCCAAACCACGAGTACAGAATAAATAACTTAAAAGCAGCTAAGGAAGGGGAAACAGGGCAGGCTTCGGAGGCAGGAGCATTGAGAGAGGAACTGAAGCTGGTCAAGGTGAAGGAGGGGGGTAGCAAGCAGCAGTTGGGAACTTGGACTGCCCTGCTAGGGCAGTGGGGCAGGGGAGGCAGGAGGGACATGGGGCCACCCCAGGAGGGTGAGGCTGGGCCCCTTCCTGGGGCAGGGAATGAGGTAAGAAAACATTTCAAATAAAGCAGCACCGTTCCCTCTCACCTTGGGGCCCCACTCCTCACCAGCCCTGGGTCAGGGAGGAAAGGTGGGGCGGGGGAGTCATTCTGATACACAGCTCCCTCTTCCTACCCTCCCCTTGCCTCTTCCGTGAAGCTGCAGAGGCTGGAGGCCCTTTCCTGGCGCCTGACGACAAAAGGACAGCCCCTGCTGCCGAGGAGGCCCGTGGGGACTGAGGGGAAAGGGCTGCCCCTGGGAGGGGCAGGGAAGGCGGTGGCAGTTCCGGATGCCCACCTCAGCAGACAGCTTGCTGGGCCTGCCTACCCCTCGGATTGGGGGCATCTGATAGGATTCTGCACACAGACAGGACACACCCAGCCCTGCCCCTCAGCTCCAAGCACCGGACCCATTCACATTGCTGAGGGCAGCTGGGGGAGGCCCCCTCCAGGCTCAGCTTCCAACCCACAGCCTCCCCGGTAGCCACAATGCTTCTCGGCAGGGCTTAGTCCAGTTCCTGGGGTGGGGGGCAGGCAGTGCCCTGGCACAGTGCCCAGGTCAGGCCCCTGGCCTAGCTGGACATCCAGTAACTCACAGAATAAATAGGAAAACCGCCTCCCCACCGAACTTATGTCCAAGGCATAATATGTCCAGGTCTGAGTCCTGCATGCCAAGGGGTCGTGCTCCGTCGCAGAGGACCCTGACACCCCCCAGGGGCGCATAACTGGATCCTCTGCCTGCCTGGCCCCACCAAGCTTCCCAAGCCCAAACCCCCAGCAGCCGTCCATTCGCCAGGCTTTGCCACCTGGGTGGGGGTTGGGAGAGAGGGCTCTGCTCAGCCAAAGGCTAACCCTTGCACCCAAGTCAGTTGATGTCATCGTAGATGCTGGGCGTCGGGGGTGCCGGTGGCTTTGGCTTCTTCTTCTTGTTGGAGCCCAGGCTGGAGGCAGTCCCTACCAGGCTCAGATGGGATTTCTTTTTCTTGGTTTTCCGTGACTCTGAGCTGTTGGTACCTGAAGAGAGAGAGGCACCATGATGCAGGCCGGGCTGTCAGGAGAACACGGGTGTCCCCACAGCCCTGGCTTTGGGCGGAGAGCCCACGGGGCCCAGATGCATCACCTACCTAGACCCCATCCCTGATTCTCACTCGTCTTGGAGGAGCCTGAATCGGAGGGCGAGAGATCAGAGGAGCCGTCCCACTGAAGCCGACTGATCAGGGCCTGGCTGTCAGTCATGTCAAAGCTGTCATTATCCAGGGAACTCTCGACCTCTGGAAGGACGCTGGAAAGAGGAGGGGTCAAAGGAGGGCTTCAGGGATACCAATCACCATCCTAACCTTTCACAACCCACCACCCTCCCCGGAGGCTCCCTTACGCTGAGGGTCCGAGGAAATAAATGCGCACAGCTCGCCGCTGCTCATCTGTGTGCTGGGGGCAGCGCACGGACCTGGTGGGGAGAGAACTCGTCAGACCCTGACAAGGCGGGAAGAGTCTGGGGACCTCAGGTGAAGCCCCTTACCCCTAGCAGAGGTGGGAGGAACGGACACAGACAGGGAAGGGATAAACAGAGTGCCCCCAGATTGTGGCCTAAGGCCTGACCATTAGAGGAGGGAGGGACAGGGTGGGAGCCCCATTGCTCAAGTCCAAGGGTACTCTCGACCCATGCCCAGGGTGAGTGTGCGGGAGGGCCCCCGGCCCCCTTTTCTAGGTTCTGAGCTCACCTTGTGCACATCTTCTTGGTGTGTTCAGAAATCACCCCACATTGCTGGAAGAGGAATATAAGCTGAAAGGAGGGACGGAGGGGAGCCCACTCTAGACACTAGGTATTCTCTTCTGCACAGACGCTAGATGGCACAGGCAGAAATCGGCCCCAAGGTATCCAGAACAGACAATCCCAGACTACCACAGGCGGGAAACCTAATTCCAGAGAGAGCAAGCTAGGTGGCCCTGACTGCTGTCACCAGCCTCTTCCAGGGACGGGATCACTGCCTATGGCTCCAGCCCACTCCCAAGGGCCTCCCCCTCGCCGGTCTCTCACCGTGGTGAGCAGGTTACGCAGCTCGTCCGGCCCCAGGGTTTCATAGCTGATCCCAGTTGAGTTGTTATACTAGGGGAGAAGCAAAGGTACAGATCAGAGAAGAGGCGGCTCAGGGGGGTTGGGAGGGAAGGGACAGATAGGGTTGGGAAACCAGTCCCTCTGGTCCTTCTCTATGAGGGGAGGGCCCTGAGCCAACCCAGCACTTTTCCAGGGATACTCTTCCCATCCCACCTGCGCGTCGGGAAGGGGCTGGAACCCAGCAAGAACAGAAATATGCAAGACCGAAATACCCCATCTAGTGCTTCTGGCCTCGGCATTCTGATGGCCACCTGTCCAAATCCCACCCAACTCACAACTGGGGAAATGAGAGAGAACCTTAGAGGGGCAGCACCCACTCACCTTAAAAGGATCCGAATTGCTAAGTTCCCCTGAAGAAGAAAAAAGAAGGGGAAGGGTGTTTGATGCAGAGGTACAGACAGAGAACCCTGAAAATAACCAGAGAGGAAGTGGGGGTGACAGAAGGATCACAGGCCCTCCCTCGATACCCCAGTTCCCCTAAGACCCCACCTCCACCCTCCAGCAATGAGTCCCAGCAGACATACCTAGAATCACCCCCATCGTTCAAGCCCCACTTACCATTTTTGTGTTTTAAAGACTTGGATCTTCGAGGGGAATTGGGGTTCTGGAATGGGAGATACCACAGCTTTGGGGAAAGGGTAACGATAAGGGGGAGCCGAGAACCCAGGGAAGGAAAAAAGATTTGACAAAGAAACATCCTCAAATTCCTACTCTTCCTCCCCAGTAAGAGGCCCACCTACCCATATTCCGTCCTCCCCTACTCGCCCAAGGCCTCCACTGCCCTCCTGCCCACCACAGACACCCTCATCCCGAAACCCAGTGAGGAACCCCATGACCTCAGACTTGAGTCAAGACACCTGAGGACTCCCTGCCCAAAGGGGAGGGTATCTGTCCTTCGCCCAAATTTCCCTCATGCTTGCCCCGGCTCTCACCTTGTCTGATTTTCTCTTCTTGGCTGTATCAGACAAAAACAAAAGGTCAGGGTCACTCAACCTAAGTTCTCAATCTAGAACCCCTACGGAAACACACCAAGCCACATTCTCCCCTCCTCACTCAACCTAACAACTTGTGACCCTTACCTACCCAACTCCCACTTGCCCACCTCACCCCGATGCCCGCCCCCCACCCCAGCTTCCCCAGAGTCCCCAGACACCTTTTTTCTCTGAGCCATAGGACCAGTCGTTGTCATTGATGTCATCGTTATCCTCTTGGTCACTCTCCGACTTGTTCATATTGTTGCTATTGGCAATCCTGCCGATGGAACAGAAGAGAACGGGTCAAGGCGGCCACCTCTCTCTGCCATTGGCCGCAGAGGCCAAGCATGTGCCACCCCTGAGCCCTACCAAGGCCCCAGGGGGAAGGGGGACTACGCCTTGGAACATGGCATCAGAGAGAGGAGCCTCGCAGCTTTGGGTCCTCACCGGCGGTTGGCGATGCGGCTGCTGTTCCGGCCCATCCCCAGGCACTTCTCCAGATGGGGAGCGAAGCGGGAGGCAGCGATACTGCGACTGCAGTTGGGGCAGACACACTCCTTGCTCTTCCACTGGTTGAAAACCTGTCCAAAGATGTCCAACCCCGGCTGGTCCACGATCTCTGGGGACAGGAGAGGCGTGGCGATCAGGGCAGGCGGGGGACCTCTTGTTTCCCGCCCGTGGCCCCATGGCCTCTTGAACCCACCCCCACCCCCTCCACTGCCGAGTCTTGCAGCAGCTCTAGGGACTACGTCTGGTCCAGCTGCCAGAGGAGGGACTTCCAAGGATCCCCGGGGTGCAGGGGCTGGACAGCTCTCCTTCAACCCTGAAGCTCACCAAAATCCTTCATGCTATCAGGGTCCGTGTCGTCCAGGAAGAAGTAGCCACACTTGACAGCCCGGTGCACCTCGAAGCAGAATCCCAAACAAGAATCCTCAACCAGGTCCGCGTATATCTCCTGAGCGATGGCCTGGGCCCAGGGGAGAACGTCCGCGGTCAGGAAGAGTCACAGTCCCCTGGACTGAGAGCAACTCTCACCAACCACATCTGCCCATTCGCCCTGGCCCCAAATCATGCTTTCTTCTGCCATTCTCCCCATCTTGACTTCGCGTCCCTTCTTCTTCCGGATCCTTGGGCCTTCTTGGCTGTCTATTCCCTTTAAGGAACCAGGCTGACTACCCCAATTCCTCTTTGGTGTGAATGCCAGATACAGCGGCGTAGAGACGCCCAGAGAAAGAACTAGAGGCACGCGTGGGGCAGCCCTCACCTCTAGTTTGCTGTTATCCAGGCCAGACAAAGACATTTCCTCCATTTTCATTTGTAAACTCTTGTGGAGACGGCGCTCTGACTGCTCATAGCACAGCGGGCGGCAACACGGCTGCACACATGGGGGTGGGGGGTTCTGGTGTGAGGCCAAGGCACCTCTGAAGACCGCCACCTCCCCTCTGCACCTCGCTGCCCAGAGCCTAATCCTGGCTTCAGGATCTACCCCTCCCCAAGGCCCAGGCTCACTGAGTCTGGATAGTCCTTCAGGGCCTGAAACCCAAAGGCGGCCTAGTCCTTCCCAGGACTGAACTCGGGCCCTGGACTCTGCTACCAGACAAAGTCTGGGTCTATGGGAGGCAGCAGCTCACCCCAGGTCCCCCAAACTCAAACCCCTCTTCCATACCCATGGTGCAATGCAGCAGGGGGAGGAGAAGGAACTCTAAGGCCTCAAAGCAAACCCACAGGGTGTGGCAAAGAACTGCACAGACTCCTAAATGCACCCCCCCTTCCCTAGGCTCTCCTCAGAGTCACCTCTGCTTTCAGCCAGGATGTCCACTTGGGGGGGTACTGCTACCAGAAGTAGGAACGGCCCTAGAACCCTACAACCTTCACCCCACTCTCTCTTCCCTTGAAATAAGCCTGTGACTACAGCAGGGGAACAGAGCCCACAGAAACCGAGAGCTGAAGGAGCCTTTCCAGCCACCATGATCAAGAAGAGGGGGTAGAGCCCGCTTGGGATGGCATGCCGGGAGTGGGCACTCCCCTTACCTGTTCTTCTTTTAGATAACCACCCTCCCTCCCTCAGGACCAGCCCGGAAGTCTCTCCAAGAGCCCCAAAGTCCAGGAATCCCCACCAAAGGATTCAGAAACAGCGCCCACAGTCCGGGGCCCCTCTGAACGGTGGGTACGAGTTTAAGGAGCTGCCGGCCTAGAGTGGGGTGGGGACTGACAAATGAGCCAGGGGCACTGGGGAGGGTAGGAGGCCGGGCCTCGGCTCTTCCCCCGTCCCTGCGGCACTGCTGCTGCATCATACCGACTGGGGGGAGGAGAGCCGAGCCGCCCGAGGCCGGCGCCGGTCCGGGACAGTCCGACCCCTAGAGAGTGGGCAGAGTGGGACGCGTCCCGGCCCCTCTCCTTCCCCGCCCGCCGACAGCCCCAGCCGGCCGGGGAGAGGAGTCCGGGAGGGTGTCTCTATTGTCCCGGGGGCTGGGGCCTGGCTCCCTAACAAAGGCCCCGCGCCCCCTCCCCGGCCGGGCCTGCCCCGCCCAGGGGGGACCCAGACAGGGGGAGAGCTGGGGGCCCCGGCCGGGCCGGGAAGCCGGGGGAAGCCGGGCGTTTCCGCGTCGGCCCGGGGGGAGGGGAAGGGGCGCTGACCCAGACCTGGGGGGAGGGGGCCCAAGCCCCGCCTCGGGCCCCGCCCCCCGCCCCCCGCAGGCCCCTCCCCCGTCCCCGTCTCCGTCCCGTACTCACCCCGCCCGGGGGGCCGCGCCGGGGCCCGGCGGCCTCTCAGGGCCGCGTCCTCCGGCGGCGGCGGCGGCGGCGGCTGCTCCGGAGCCCCATGTCCGTCGGTCCGTCCTCGCCTCTCCCCGGGGCCCAGGGCCCGGGGCCGGGGGGTCGAGCCGCCCCCCCGCCTCGCCGCCTCACCGGGCGGCCATGGCCCCTTCCCCTCCCTTCTCGTCCCGTCGCCGCCTCCTCCTCCTCACCTCACCCCGCCCGCGCGCAGTCCGCGCGCCGTCCGCGCGCCCCTCCCCCCGCCCCCCACTCCAGCCCGCCTCTCCCGGGCGGGGGGTGCGGCGCGAGCCCGGAGCGCGCGCGCGTGCCGCGACCGGAGGATGGATGGATGGAGCGAGCGAGAACGCGAGCGTGCGCGCGCGCGCCCCTCTCCCCCTCCCTCCGCGCGGGCGCGAGGCCAAGCGCGAGCGCGCTCCAACCTCCTCCTCTTCCTCCTCCCGCCCCTCTTCAACACCCCGCCCCCGCCCTCCCTTCCTCTTCCTTCTTTCGCTTTCGCGCGCCCAGCGACTGCTCGCGCCTGCTAGAAGGGCCCGAGCGCGTGCATCTGCCCCGCGGCCGCAGCTCGGCAGCATTTGCTCCAGGGGGCGGGGACCGGGCGGGGAGGAGGGGCGCCACGCCGCCGTCCAAAGTACCGGCGGACGGGGACGGGGGCGGGGAGATGGGCGGGGCTTTCGGGAGCCACCTCGACCAATCGCCGTCCCGCCTCGGTCCGGCAGGCCCAATAGGATAGCGGTGGGTGGAGCGACGTTCAAGGTGAGGTGCGCGGTGCGCTGGGGGCGGAGACGTTGTGCCGTCCCGGCCGGCTCCGGGGCGGGGGCAGCGGGTGGCGTCGAAAGAGAGCGCCGGCTCCCAGCCGAGCCTGGGACGCCTTCCGGCCCAGGATCCCCCGCCCTTCCCTCGGGGCTCCCGGCTCTTCTCCCCCCACCCCCCAACTCCGCCCCCGCCCCCGGCTCCCCCACTCCGGCATTTACCCCGTAGCGTGCAGCCACTTCTCTGAAGAGGCCGGAGTTGAAGTGGGGATCTGTTAGCACCTCAGGGCAGAAAACTTATGGAGCCAGAGGGGCTCGTCGGAGCCTCCGTTCCCCTGTTTCTGGGCGGGTCTCAGCCCACTCCAGGCCTGCGAGCCAACGAACGCCCGAGATGAGGGTCCTCTGCTGAGGGCGGAGGCCGAGCTGTGCCTTCTGAGCCGAGCGCCCTCCCGGCGCTCAGACTAATTTAGATCCCACACCTGCTCGGCTTTCCTGCTTCCGGAACCCACGCTGGACCCCCCACCTCTCGGACAGCCTGCCTGGCACTGGCCAGACCCTTCCCTCGACCCCGCGCCACCTCCCTGGGTGTGCCCATATCCACGCGCTCTCACGGTCCCCCTTTACGTTATGGAGGAAAAGGCCTTTCCTAGCCGCAACCGATGCCCAGACTGGCGCTTCTATCTCGGTTATTCTCTGGGTCTGGAGTGTTGGAACGGGGGTCTGACAGCCCTCTTGCCCTAGAAGAGGGGGTTAAACGAGGGAAGTCTTAAATATTACACTTGGGGATCATCCTTGGCTGTTTGGTCTTAAGCAAACATATATTGTGGCAATGGTCCGAAGTGGTTAAGACCAGGAGTCAAATTTGAATTTAAATATGCGGACCTGGCAAATAAACTTGGGCAAGTGAGCTCTCTGTTGCCTCAGTTTACTCTGTTGTCACCGGGTATAATGATAGTACCTATCTCATTAGGTTGTTGTGAGGACTGACAGTGCATGTGAAACTCTTAGCTCAGTGTAACTGGTTTATAAATTTTAGCTGTTATTCGTAAGTGCTCTAAGACTTCTTACAGTGCCCTGTGCTGGGATGCAAAGATGAAATAAGACAGTTGTGCTTCCTCAAGAAGTTCACAAATTTGTCAGGTAGACAGAACTGTAGGAAAATAATTGCCAAACACTGATAAAAATGAGAGAGAGGGCACCGGGGTGGCTCAGTCAGTTAAGCGTCTGACTTAGGCTCGGGTCATGATCCTGGGGTCCTGGGATTGAGCCCTGTCCGCCTCCCTGCTCAGTGGGGAGCCTGCTTCTCCCTCTGCCCTCCCCCCCCCACCCCGCTTGCTCGCACTCTCAAATAAGCAAAATCTTAAAAAACAAAAATAAAAAACACAAGAGAGATGCACAGGGGATGGGGTGGACAGGACAACAGATAAAATGATGTAAGAGAGTTGGTCAGTAACAGCTTCTTGTAATGGGAGATGAACCAGTTCAAGGCAGACCAGGAAGGTGCTACAATCCCAGACAGCAAGCTTCAGGAGTATGGTTCAGTTTGGGGCCCTGGCTGGAACATAGGAATGAGTGGGGAAGCAGCAGGTGAGCAGGTCAGACCATACAGGACTAAAGATGAGCTGAGTAATAAGGGCTTTAGATCTAAAGGCCATGAGGAGTCCTCAAGAGGAACCATTTGATCAGACTTGAATTTTAAGTAGATCATTCTGGCATGCTGAGTCTGTAGATTTCATTCATTCATTCATTCATTCATTCATTCATTTGAGGTCGGGGTTGGGGCTGGGGAGAGTACAAGCAGGGGGAGTTACAGAGGGAGAGGAAGAAGCAAGTTCCTGCTGAGCAGGGAGCCCGATGTGGGGCTCGATCCCAGGACCCTGGCATCATGACCTGAGCCGAAGGTAGGCGCTTAACCAACTGAGCCGCCCAGGCACCCCGAGTCTGTAGATTTTTGTTATCAATCAAGGCTTGTGAGGTAAAGGACAAAGAAAACCAAGATGGGGACCTCGGAGGAGGAGATATGAGGATATAAGAAGGACAAGTTCAGTTTGGTGTATGTTGTAGGTACTGTGAGACCAGCTGGTGGAGACTCTCTGAAGGTCACTGAAGTGAGAGGCCAGGCCTTCAGGAAACTCCAATATGTGAATCAGGAATTCTCAACTCTGATGATGCTGCTCTGTTTCTCAGTCTTTAAATACACCCAGTATATCTGCCCTGAGGGATTGACACATGCGCAGGAAGCCTTCCTGTCTCCTCTCTGTTTACCTAAATTCTTCCTCACTTTCCTACCCATGGCCATCCTCACACCAAACTCCTTTACAAGTGGATTGTTCTATTCATCCTGCCTTTGGCCTGGGCTGCTTCTGTGGTGGTGGCCTCTTTGGGAACCTGCCCAGTGTCCACAGTTAGCATCAGTCAGTCAATAAACACTAAAGACTGTGCTGGTCTGGGCTCTGGATAAGCCCTGGGGTTTCAGCAGCGAGCCAGAGAGACACACAGACCTTGTCCTACTGGAGTTTACACCCCAGCAAAGCCTGATGTGGATGAAACAAGACCAACTGTGAAGGCATCCAGACTGCTGAAGAAACAAATAGCATGATCTTTTTGTCAAGAGGTCAGAGAAGACCACCCCCCCAGCCCCAGAAGAAGTGATCTTTTCAAGGGAGCCCTGAATTAACTAGGCAATGAGGTGAAAAGGAACATTCGAGGCAGAGGGAAAGGTTATGTGTATAGGCAGAACGAGGCCCTGGAAGAGACTGCGGTGTGTTTTGAGACATGGATAGCTAGTAGAGCTGGGTTCGTACAGAGGCCAGCAGGGGCAACGGATGCCCCAGGACCTTGTAAGCCATACTTACTCATTCAACAAACGTTTCTTGAGTGTCAAATGTATACCAGGCAATTTAGGTGCTGGGATTACTGTAGTTTAGACAGATAAGGTGTCTTCTACTCGAGGAGGTAGACAGCAAACAAGTAAAAAAAGTACAGAAACAAAGATGTAGGAGGAGGCCTCATTAGAAAGAGTTGTTAGGGAAGGCCTGTCTGTGAGGTGACATTTGAGCTGAAACCTGAAGGATGAGAAAACCAGCTGTGTGTAGACTTGAAGGATTAGCATTTGGAGCAGAGAGAACAAGTACAAAGGCTCTGTGGTAGGCATGTTTGAAGAACAAAAGAGATCCCTTGGCTGGATCGCTGTGAGTGACTAGAAAGAGCAAGATGAGAGAAGGTGGGAGATGGAAAGCAGGGGCCAGGCCTCGTAGAGTCATGAAAGTTGTTAGTACAGAAGTAATCAGATTTCTTTTCATTTTGATTATTTTAAAAAATTTTTTAATTCATTCACTAAGCTCTACACTCAACGTGGGGCTCAAACTCATGACCCCGAGATCCAGAGTCACACACTCTTCCAACTGAGCCAGGTGGGTGCCCCCAGATTTCTTTTTAAAAGATAACTTTGGGGGCACCTGGGTGGCTCAGTGGTTAAGCCTCTGCCTTCGGCTCAGGTCATGATCTCAGGGTCCTGGGATCGAGTCCCGCATCGGGCTCTCTGCTCTGCAGGGAGCCTGCTTCCTCCTCTCTCTCTCTCTGCTTGCCTCTCTGCCCACTTGTGATCTCTCTCTGTCAAATAAATAAAATCTTAAAAATAAAATAAAATAAAATAAAATAAAAGATAACTTTGGTTGCTGTGTTGCTTGTGTTGCTGTGTGCAGAATGGACTGTAGGGGGCAAGAGTGCAAGAAGGAAGACCAGTTTTAGGAAGTCTTTGCAAAAGTTGAGCAATGATGGTGGCCTTGAATGGGATGTGGATGCCGGCAATGGGGAAGGGTACACAGATTTGGGGGAGATACAGGAAGTGGAATGGACACGTCTAGGTGACCAAATACATGTGGAGGTTTAAGAGGAAGAGAGAAGTCAAGGCCGATACCCTAGTTTCTAGTTTGAATAGCCAGAGGCTGACGATCGCTTTGGGCCTTGAGGGATGAGGTACCTGCAACATATCCCAGAGGATACACAGAAATTTACACAGGTTTGCGGTTTGGAAGAGCAGCCTCTACAGATTGGTTACCTATGGGTGATAACTGGAGGTTCCTAAGGTGACGAACACCTCGGATAGAATGAGGAGGAGCCAATGCCAACGGAATAGACCAAGATGTCAAGAGACGGACAGGTGTCCACTGGATGGAATGATGCATGTGCTGGTGAATTTAGAGTCACCCCAGGAGAGTGGTGAGTAGGAGGTGAGGAAATGGGAGACCATGAAGGGCAGTGAGCTTTCTAGCAATTTGGCCAAGGACACCAGGGTGTGGGGCCAAGGGAGAGCTCTTGGATGGGGCCTAGGTCTCCGGCCCCAGTGGTTCCAGGAACCAGGCCAAGACCTGTGCAGGGAAGGCTATCTTCCTTTACCTCGGAGGGCGAGTCATCTTGGCCCAGCCCACTTCCCATAAGGGCCCTGGGTGGAGTTGGGAAAGTCACCTTTAACCTGGGAGGAGGCTGAGGGCTCAAGATGGGAGGGCCCAGCGATAAGTCCTTATACGACCTGGGCGAGCCCCTGACCCTAATAGTTCATTGCCCCCAATTTCCCAAAGCAGTTCATTCAGGAAGAAAATAAGTTATCTGTTCCCCAAATTCTGTCTTTGGTGGTCTGACAACTGGGTGAACAAACGGAACCGGAACTGCGGTAAGAGCACAGAGCGATGGTGGGCTGCCTGTGGAATCTTTAGGAAGAGAAGGTTCTAGAGAGAAGGCACAGACAAGCCGGCATCAAGTCTTTCCCCACAGGTGCCTGGGTGGCTCTGTGCGTTAAGCATCTGCCTTCGGCTCAGGCCATGACCCCAGGGTTCTGGGATCCAGGAGCCCCACATCCCACATGGGGCTCTCTGCTCAGTGGGAAGCCTGCTTCTCCCTCTCCCACTCCCTCTGCCTGTGTTTCCTCTCTCGATGTGTCTATCAAATAAAGTCTTTCCCTGTTGAACCCGGTGCATCCCTCCTGCACCCCGCCCTTCATTGATTCCAGTGACCAGACAGCAGTCAAACCTTTGTTTTTCACTTTATTGTACAAAAAGAAGGGAAACAAAACTTCTACAGTTGGCCTTAAGCTTAGGCAGACACCTCTAAGACACTCCCTCCCACCTCCCATGATACAAATTCAAGTTGTGGTTGTTGTTGAAACCTACAAAAACACTCCTTAAATATTAGAAAAAAGGGGGAGAGAGTGGGGCGGGGTCCTCCCACTCCAACCATCTCATCCCAGTGCCAAAATGCACTCAGAATGACCTCTTACAGCACCAACATCCCCATCCCCACAGCCCTGTTCGTACTGTAAGAATTTTCAATTTTTAAAACGGGGGGGGCGGGGGAAGAGCCCCATTCAAAGTTGTTTTTAAATGAAAACACATTCCACTAAAACACAACAGTGTAGGGGCATTCAAACAGGAAAATGGGGTTCTTTGCAGGGGCTCTTGGGAAGAAATAGAACCTAGGAACCCCTGTATGAGGGTCAGGACAAAGGAAGGGGAGTGGGAGTGGGGATTATTTTCCCCTAATGCCCCCACCCCCAGCACCACATCCAAGGCAAAGCAGACGGCTTTCCTTTGGGAGTGGGACTCATCTTTCTCATCCCACCTCCCCGGTGGAATTCCCACTCTTCCCCCACACCTTGGCTTTCATTCAGAGGGGAAGGCAGAAAAGCACAAAGCCCCAACTAAATAGGTCATTGACATGATTGTAAGGAAAAAAAAAAAGCCAAAATTTAATCAAAAATTTAAAATTTCAATCCACAGAGATAAGGTGGCTTGGCTTATTAAGGGTCTAAGGAATCAGGGTACCAGAAATTTTGAGATGGCCAGGAAGGGTTAGAGGAACTACTGCAAAAGCAGCCTCTGCAGACCCCTTCCCCAGCTGGGGGTTTGGAGGGGCGGGGAGGGGAGCAGACCTGAGAAATCAAAGGGAATGGGGGGTGGTGGGGTAGCTGGAGGATATAGGGAAAGGCAGGAGGGGTATATGTTAAGAGCTTTCAATATACTTCTTGAAGCCCAGTTTCTGAGCCTAAGGGAGCCAGGCAACCTCTCAAATGAACTGGGAAGGCCTTTTCCCACTAAATAAAAGGCTCTTAGGATCACCTAGTCTGTCCCCCTCCTAATGCCCCGCCGGAGCTCAGCGGAGGCTCAGTCACGTGGCCCTGGCAGAGGGAAGCAGCTATAGGAAGCAGGAGAGTGGCTTCGGTAACCCCCCCCCCCCCCCCAATCGAATCAGAGATTAGGCAAAGCAGAGAATGTGGAGAGAGGGGCTGCCCTAGCCTGTTCCCACCAGGATCAGTGTCTCCCTGGCCCTCACCAACCCACTCACCGGATTCACAAACTGAGGTGGACTCCCCCTTCTCTTACACACATGCATACACACGCACACGCACGTCTTTGCACACATCCACAGGAGCACCCATGCTATGTACAGGCGACACACGCACACACGCTTTTCCATTCGTGTCAAGACCGTTTTAAAAAAAGTCCCAAACCTACCCCCTAAGCCCTCCCTCTCCCAGAAATGACAACAGAGACGGCAGCCGAGATCGGTAGGAAACGTCTCGTTGACAGCTCAGAGCTTAAAAAAAAAAATATATACACATATATAAAAAACACTTCTGCCCCCTCCCCCCATGAGTGAGTATGGGCAGCTCCTTCCTGCAGAGGGCAGGGGAGAGGGCTAGAGGGCGGCGCCTGTTTTCTGAGGCTCCTGCCCTCCTCTCCCCACGTTCCCTGCCTCCAGTTCCAACGCAGGGGTCCAGTCGGCAAGCCCCTCTGGGAAGGGAGGGGTCTTCCCCGAGCTTCCACCCTCCCATGGGTTGGGCTGCAGGTGTGGAGGGCCTCACCGGACTCTTTGGGAACCCCCCCACCCCACTCCCAGGTCCATTGTCCATGACAGAACCGCAAGTGCAGAAGAGGGGTGGGCCGGGCCGGTCCAGTGGTGGCTCAGTCTGATGGTTGCGCTCCCTGGAGGGCCCCCCCACCAGGGCCAATGTCTCTGAGGCTGCAGAGTCCTGGCCTGGGCTCCTCCAGCCCCTCCCCCACCAAATTAAAAAAAAAAAAAAAAGAAAGAAAAAGAAAAAGAAAAGTGGGGGAGGCCATGGGGCAGGGGACAGAACATGGGGGAGAAACAAAGGTGGTCAGTTGGGGAGGGGAGCCCTGGGTGGGACCGGGCCTCAGTTGGAGTCAGAGTCCGAGGAGTCCCCCGAGGAGGAAGAGCTGGAGCTGCTGCCCTCAGACTCATTGTCCTCGTCCTCATCGTCATCCTCGTCGTCGTCCTCGTCCTCGTCATCCTCCTCATTCTGGGGGGCAAGGAATGCGGTGACCACAGGCCAGGCCTGGCAAGCCCCCCCCCGCCGCCCCTACCACGCCCCGCCGCCTGACCTCATCTCCGTCCTCACTCTCATCCTCACTGCTCGACTCAGAGGAGTCCCCCCCGTCCTCTGAGGAGTCCCCATTCTCGTCATCCTCCTCCTCTTCATCCTCCTCCTCGTCCTCCTCATCCTCTTCATCATCCTCCTCAGACTCCTGGGAGGGGCGGAGGGACATCAGGGGTGGTCCCTGCCACACCCCTCCGGGCGCCAGGGACACCCCCGCCCCGTCTGGGAGGAGCTCCTTACCGACTTGGACTGCAAGGCAGTCCGGCTGGACTTGGGGTTCGGGCCTCGCAGCTTGGTCATGCTCTTACGTTTCTGTAGGCAAGGACGGCGATGCAGACAAAGGAGCAGCCGTGAGTGCCACACAACGGCCCGCCCCAAACCCTCCCTGTCCCCGGCACCGCTCTGCTCCCAGACTCACGTTGGAGATGTACTCTTTATAGGCCGCACGGTCCTGGGGAGACAGACTCTGCGGGAGACAGAGAAGAAGGTAAAGGTTGGAACGCCACCCGCACTGACCGAGTATGTGGCTGAGTGCCAGGCAGGGGGCTAAGCCCTCACGTACCGTTACCCTGATCTACCCCTGCCGCTCTCCCCATACACACAGCCCCCCCACCCAGGTCCAAGCACACAGCTCCAGTGCTACTGCTGGAGATGCCCCGAGTCCTTCTCAAAGCCACCCCGTCCCAGGACTACCGGTTTTCATGTCCCTCTTCTTGTTGTACCCAAGCGGAGCTTCCAGAGTTAGTCCTTCCTCAGCTCAGAGCAGCCCCCCACAACGACCACCATAGCCTGGCATCATCACTCCTGCTCCCAAGAGGGCTCCATAGCCTGGAGCCCCAGAGGAGGGGATCCGGGGCTCCCCAAATCTCTGGACACTTAAACCTCACGATCTCCCAGGGTCTCTGGCTGACCCGGCTGAATAGCTGGGGGCAGACACAGGTGACTCTCCCCATGTTACAGATCTGACTGCTCAACCAAGGTGCAGAAGGGGAGCAGCGCAGAGGCTTGGGGCCCAACCAGAGCCCAGCTAGAGGGAGGAAAAGGCAATCTGATTTGGATTATTCTACTTACTAACAGTGTGACCTTGGATAAATCACTTAACCTCTCTGAACCTTGGTTTCTTACCCCGATAGTAGTCACTGCCCTACAGGACTGCTGGGATGCTGAACGAAATCATGAATGCAGACCAGCCAGAAACCGCCGCCTTCTTCCAAGGGTCCTCAACCCTCTCACCTTGACCCAGAGGTCCAGGTGTACTTTGTACTGCTTCTGCTGCTCCTCTGCCAACTTCTTGTAGTGCTCCTTCTGGCTCTGGGAAATGCGCTGCCAGCGGCTGCCGATCTCCACCATACGTTCTTTCAGTGGCAGGTGGTTCAGCTCCCCGTTGGACAGCAGCTCCTGGGAGAACTTCTGGTAACCGTTCCTAGGAGGTGGGGCGGTGCAGGGAGGGTTAGGATGCCAAGACCGTCACCTGCTAGCCGTGACCCTCCCCGCGGCCAGCGTGGGTTGCGGCCCTCTGACTCACATGGGAGGCTTCTTCGGTTCTCCTTGGAACTTCATCTTCTTGGAGGAGTTCGCAGCAGCGGGGGGTGCCCGCATCTCACTCAGCTCTCTCTGTGGGGACACCCAGAAGGGTCACGCTCACTCCACCCCACACCCGGAAGTATTTCTACCTCCCGCCCCATGCCCTCAGTGCCTGGGAAATGGAGGCACAGCTAGGGAGCAACATCCTCACAGCTCACACCTGGGTCAGGCGCCGCTGCTCGAAAGCGTTTGTCACAACCACGCTCGTGTGACCGGTATCACCGCCCCCTCTACTGATGCGTGACTGAGGTTCAGAGAAGGAAGGTGGGAGGTTTGCTCAGGATCACACATCCAAGGCTGGGGCTCCTGGCTCCACGGCCCACCCGCTGAGGCAAGGGCACTCTGACCCCCAAAGCGGAGGGAGGTGGCTCAGGGTCCACTGAGCCCACCACGCCCCCCCCAGCCCCCACCCTGCACTAACCAGCTGAGCCCTTCTTCCCACCTCGTATCGCTTTTGGTCTTCGGCTGCCTTCTTAATCCACATCAGTTTCTCCTTCTTCTCCATGTTGTTCCAGGTCATCTCCATGGCTTTCAAGGCCTTCACCCGGTCATTCTGGAGACAAACAGGGGTGTCAGCTATGGGAGGGGTCACCTGGGGCTGGGGGCCGCAGTAGTAGGCAGGCAGCGGAACCACCCCTTTCAGGCTCCCTGCCACCTTGAAGCGGGCCAGGTAGTCCCCGATGACGCTCTGTTGCCAGATCTCCTCGGCTCTCTTGGGCGACTCTGGCAGCTTGCCCCGTTCCTCACGGTCCCCGCCCGGCTTCCTCTCAGACTGGGCCTTCAACGCCGCCTCCCGGGCCTTGTACTTGGCCTGCCGGGGAAGAGCAGGGGCGTCAGCCTTCCCGCCGCCCCCAGGGGGCGCGCGTTCCCCGTCCAGCTCTGGAAGGCTCTTGCCCCTGGGCCAGAGCAGGGCCCCGCGGCTCCTTGGAGGAGGTATGGGCTGGTGCAGAGGTCTCCAGCCTGGCCCGCCAACCAGCTCTGTTCCCCAACCAGCTCTGTTCCCCGGGGGAGCGGAGGCCCTCCTCAGACAGCTTCCGGCCTTCCGGCCTGCTGAGCTCCCAGCCCTGGCGTCCTAGCCCAGGCACAACTGGGGCCCACACAGGCCAAGGCTGAGGCAGTGCACCTAGACCCTGGGGGACAAGCGAGCAGGACCCCGACCTTCTTCTTCTCTGACAAGTCGTTCCACATGCGGGCCAGAAGGCGGGTCAGCTCGCTCTCCGAGAGCTCAGGCCGCTCCTCTTGAAGCTGCCGCCGCTTCTCTTCCGAGAAGATGAACATGGCTGACACTGGCCGCTTAGGCTTCTCTGAGCCGCCCTGGAGGTGGACAAAGGAGGTCGGGGGCCGTGGGGGTGATGGCAGGTAGCCCCACTTTCCCCCGCCTACCCCCCAATCAGTCGTGCCCCCTGCGCACCTTGCCCCCTTCCTGCGAGGGCTTCTTGGAGGCTGGGCTGGTGGCCTGCTTCTTGTTGATGCTCAGCATCTTCTCCTCCCCCAGGACCCGCTGCTGTTCCTCCTCAGGCAGGCTCTGGTCCGGAGACAAGGTGTGGCGTGGGGCTGCGCACCTGGCTGCCAGCTGGCTCCCGGGGGGATGGGGGGGTGGGGGATGGTCCAAAGGGCCTTAACCCCAAGGCCTCTGTCTGCCGGATGCCCTGCCTACGGGAACACTCACCTCTAGGAAACGGAGCAGTTCCACCTCGTAATCTTTCTTTTTCTGGGAACAGAAGGGGAGTCAGGGTCAGTCTGGGAACGAACCTGCTGATTCTCAAGGCACCATAGCCCTCTACAAAACGTCCAGAGCCTGGATGGGGCCTCATCTCCCTCCACAGCCCAGATGCCAAACCTCGCACAGCACCGAGTCTGGAGCGGGGGGGTCCGAGATCCACCTGCCCGACCACTGACGGACCCCTTGCCGGGGCCAGATTTCGGGCTTCAAAGTCCCAAGGCCAGGCCTAAGTGTCTCCAGGAGTCGCCCTCCGCACGGCTCACCTGGTCACACTTCTTGTGGTAGGCGTCCTTCTCCTTCTGGGACAGCAGCTTCCACTGCTGACTGCAGAGCACCATGCGTTCCGTGCTGGGCACGTCCTTCATGTTGGCCATCAGCTCGGCGCAGTACAGGGAGTAGCTGTTCCTATCAGAACCGGTGGGAAAGGAGACGCGATCCCCCCTGAGCCTCCTCCCTGAGGGACCAGGGCTTCAACTCCGGAGGTCTGCTGTCTGGACTGCCTCGATGCCACTGGCCCACTCACCCCCCCCACCCCCACCCCAGGGGGTGGCACTTACGGAGGTGGCTTGGTGGGTCGCCCATCAAACTTGTCCTTGAGCTGGCGTTCGGCCTTGGTGAGGGTGGACTTGGTGATGCCCTCCTCACTGATGTTCAGCTCAGGGTGCTTCTGGATATAGTCACGCATAATCTCCTGCAGAGTGAGGTGGGGGGATGGAGGGCAACGGGGGGGTGGGGTTAGCAGGGGGGGCTGGGGCGGGGAGAGCCGCTGGGGAGGGGAGGCAGGGAGCAAAAGCTGGGGGGTGGCCGTGTGTCTGCTCCGTCACACGAGACATGGCGCCCTGCCCTGCCCTAGCCTGAGATCTCACGGTGGGGAGGGGGGCAGGGAAGGTAGGGGCAGAGGCAAGGGGCCCAGAAGGCCCCTCCCTCAATGGAGGGACAGGGAACGACTGCCTCCCGCAGAGTGCGGAGGCTGCAGAGTCAGAGGGCAGAGGCTCTTGAAGAGCCGGACGGGGAGGAGCGCAGCGGAAGCCTAACCTCGTACTCCTTCCGCTGCTCCAGGGCCTTATGAATCCATTTCAGCCTCTTTTTGTCCGAGAGCTGAGACCACTGCTTCCCCAGGGAGTCCTTCACCTCCTTCGTAGTGGCCTGCAAACCAAAAGCCGTCAGACACACACAGGCAGCCAGGGGAAGGGGAAGGGGAGGGGGGAGGGGGGCACAGAGGCCCCCGCCCCCTCAGGCCACAGGAGGTCACATGAGTGTCCCCCACAGGCCAGGAGGGGAAAGTGGAGAGGCGGGGGTCCCGCCTAGGTGCAAGGGGACAGGCTCACGCACGCACGCACGCACACACACACTCGCACGCCAGCTGGCCCAGGCCCTGTCCATGCAGCCCACCCCTGGGGAGGGGCCTCCTCTCCTGCTCCCCTGCACCATGCCCGGCCGACCTGACGCGGCTCCCCCCTTGCCACCACCGTGCGCCCTCCATCCCTGCCCCCGGGCCGGACACTCACATCTGGCCGCACTTTGAGATACACCTTCTTCTCGTGGGTGTACCACAGCTGCTGGGGGGTTTTGGGCTTCTCGGGGATGTCCGACTTCTTGGCATTCTGGATTAGGTCAGGGTGATCCTCCCTAGCCGGGCGTGGGGAGCAACAGTCAGTGGGTGCGGGAGACCCTGCCAGGGAGACCCCGGCTAGCTGCCCCACCCACCAAGGCTCCACGGCCTATACATTGGGGCCTAGTAGGACAGCGGCTACCTGCTTATCCCTGCCCTTGAGTATGACCTGCTAGGGTCAACATGTGACCTGTCCATCCCATCTTCCATGCCTCAGAGGGCAAGCTCAAGGCTCTGGTCGGGGTTACCCTATCCTGCCACACCCAGTGCCCTGTGGCCCTCCTCTGGGCTCCACTGCCTTACCTGAACCGGGCCAGGTTTCGCTCGAACTCCTGTTTCTCTCTCTGGAAGTCCTGAATATACTTCATCTGGGGGAGGAGGGGACAGGGTCATCCACGACCCAAAGCCTGAGCTATAAAAGCCACTGAGTGCTCCTTGCTAGCTATTTTGCCTCCCAGTGGTGATGTGGACAGACACAGGGTGGCGTGAGCTGGCAGGGGATGGTGGCCTGCCTTCCAGTGGGTTGGGGAGACTCAACCGTAGCCCAGACTGTCAACTTAGAACCAGACAGTGGGAGCTACAGGGGTCTCCCAGGACACATCCTATGTCCTGGTCTCTCCTGCTAAGAGAGGGAGAGTCCCAGAAGCAGGACCAGGCCTCGCCCAGTCACACTGAGCAGTGACAGGGCTGGGACTCCCCCTGACCCTACCTCCCCCTCCCCCAACACCGCAAACTCCCCACAATGAGTCAGGAGGAGATGTGGGCCTTGCCCCTATTCTTCCCTCCTCCCGTGTCTGTGGCAGCTGGTATTGGTCTGCTGCCTCCAAGGCGGCCCATGGGGCCGGGGATAGGCCGAGTCCTGCTTCCAAGGCCTGAGGGGAGACGGTGTTCAAGGCACCCAGAGAGAACTCTTACAACATTAATGATATTCTAACAGATCGGTCCCCTGCATTTGGATTTCCTTCCAGATCCAATGAGTGGTACCTTGTAGTACCTCAGGTCCCCTGGCTACTATCCTTCACATGCCTTCCCCATTCTGAACCCCCTCCCATCACCTTCTCCCTGGCTCCTGGCTGGCAGACTCCTCCAGCCCTCCCCGCTCCACCCCTCTGGCTCTCCTCTGCCTTGGCTTCTTTCCTTCTCCTCCACCGCTTTCTGTAAGGCTGGCCTCCTTTCCCGCCATCACGCGACTACCTCCCTGTCTTGTTCCTGCCTCTCCATTCCTCACTCTTCTTTCCTTTCCCACCTCTTTCCTTTCCTTACCTACCTCCTGTCCTGGCTACCACTCAATGTCCAGGTCTCCTTTCTCCCTTTTTCCCTGAGTCACAAGAGTCAGCCTTGGAAGAGTCCAGGGGCTCAGAGCAACTGAACCCCAACCCCTGCCTCTCCCAGAAGAGGCACCAGGCACAGGGACAGCCTCACTTTCCTCTGTGGCTCCTGCCGAACACAGGGAGCGGAGCCCAGCCCACTCTGCCCCAGTCACAGCCCTCCTCACACAGAACAGTGGCTCTTGGAACAAGAAGTCACTCATGCACAGGGCTGGGCTTACCCTCCACACCTGAGACAAAGACCAGGTCCAGAGAAACAAAGGAACTTACCGCAGGTCACGCACAAAACAACTTAGGGGTAGTCAGATCATCAGGCCCAAGCCTTGGGTCCCCCAGGCCAGTACCCTGTCTGCTCTACCACATAGTGTCTTAGCCCTCCCCGGTCCTGGGACCCTGGGCCTCTGCCTCCCACGCCCTGTCTGGGTGTCACGTGCGCAGTCTGCTCCATGACCTCCCCATCAGAGGGGCCGAGGAGAACTCTGCCACTTCCTACCCCCGCTGGGCCTGGGCAGCAGCGGTAGACAGCTGGTTGCACGCTGCCAAGCTGGCTCCTTTTTGGGTACAGAATTAAGGGGGGAGGTGAGCGTACAGCCACAGGGCACAAACAAGGAAGGTGGGAGGCTACACGCTGGCTGTGTGTATCTTGGTCTCTTCTTCCCGAAGATGTGCCCGCCTCTCCCTCCCCCTGCCCCTCACCGACACCTCTCCCTGGCTTGCCTTGCGGCCCGGCACCCTTGCTGTTCATCCCCCCCACCCCACCCCGGCCCCATCTCACTCAGGGCCCAGCGGCAGGCCCCTCCATGACCTGGCTGCCAGCCGCGGGGAGGGTCCACTTGACTTCAAAGTGCGGGACGGGGTCCAACCCTGCCAGGGAAACCGGGGCAACCTCTGCTTAATGTCAACGATCTTGGACGGCCTGGGACAGTGGGAGGCCACGAGGGATGCTGGTGCATCCTTGGGCAAACACGCACATAGAGGAAGGAAGCCCACTTCACGTGTGCATGGGCAGTGAGAAGTGCACCTGATCCCTGCTCTGCTGTCACTGGCTGCGGGACCGGGGACACGAGTCCCTCCGGAGCCTCAGCTCCGTGCCCACACAATTGGCATAACCCCTTCTCCAGGGGTTCCCCGTATGGGGATACTGACTGCATGCATCAGATGAGACCAAGGTTGGTTGGGGCGGGGGTCGTCAGAGGGTAAACTGCTGGGCCGGCCCGACCGTGAGAACATGAGCCCAGAAGTTATGCTGTATGAGCGAACACTGTGGACGGTCTAGGGCAGGGAAGGGTGGTCTGAGTGCCTGCTACAGTCCCGGTTATTATGCCTTCCACAGTGCCAGTGCCTGTGCCTGTGCCTGACCGTGCGGAGGAGGTAGAGTGTGGCTGCCTGAGGCCCTACGCTCTGCTCTGTGACCCACCCCACGCAATGTTGAGGCCCTCTGCCTAAGCCTCCCCGTCATGGCTGACCCACCATGCACCAGCTGCTCCCTGACTCTTCCCTCCTCCCTGCCTCGCCCCCCTCCCCCCACCTTCTTCTTCTCCGGCAGCTCCTTGTATTTCTTGGACAGAATCTTGGTCAGGTCCAGGTTGCTCATCTCAGGGTGCAGCTTCGCGTACTTGGCCCGCTTCTCCATGAAGAAGCGGAAATAAGGGGTCAGGGGCTTCTTTGGGAAGTCCGGGTGTTTCTGGAAGGAGGGTCAAGGACACAGTGAAGGTCAGACAGGATCCCTTCTCTGGCCCATTCCTCTCCTGCAGGTCACACTCCGCCTCCTGGAAACTTACCTTGAGTTTTTTGCCTTTGTAAGGATTTTTAACATGTTCCTGAGCATCAAGGATCAATTCTGTCAAGGTTCGGAACTTCCTCACCTGGAGGAAGAAGGGCGGTGAGTGCAAGGGGAAGTTCAGAAAGGGAAACACCACCCCAGAGCGTACCCCCCCTTTGCCAGTGGGTCTCCTCTAATTTCCACTAGACTGAATTTATCAAAGGGGGAGGGGCAGAGGGCAAAAGCCACAGCTCAGCCCCTGACACCCAGACGCTGGTCCATGCCTCCAGCAGAGGACCAGGCAGTCCGTACACACCAAAGGACAGCAACAAGGTGACCACCTGACCTCGATGTGTTGTCCATGCCAGCACCTCATTCATTCCCCAGAACAGCTCAGGCGACAGAAGCTCCAAGACGGTAAGTATTCAAGGCCACACAGCTAGAAAGTGGCAGAACTGAGAACTCTAGGCCAGTGCTGTCAACCGTGCCACCTCCCAAATGCGCAAGGGCGACCACATGAGCACCTCGCCTGGTCTCTTTCCTTCCTGTTTATAGACTTCTGTTTCCTCTCCCCCACCAGGAAGGTTGAGGCAGGGGTTCACACAGATGTGTCAGGAAAGCGGTGGGTGGGGGGGTGTCAGTTACCTCATTAGAAATCTCCACCCATTTGAGCTTGCACATGTCTCCAGAAAAGTCTTTAAAGGCTACTTTTTCCCAGTCCATATGTGACTCGGTGGTTTTGAACTTGGAGCTGTCATTGGATGGAAGGTTGTTCTTCATGCATTCCAGCAAAGTCAGCATGTCTTCCTGAGACCAGCGGTCTGGGGAGGGGTGAGAAAGGCAATCACGCCCAGCTCATGCTTTCCCCTCATCTGTTCCCCAGTCCTTAAGTGCTCAACCCTTCTTTCCCAGAGCATCCCAAATCCCTGTTTACCTCTGATCTGAAGGCAAAGACAAGACATGACCTACTCATAAGGGAAAACTGTGACCATCTGGATTAAAACAGGTAGTCCAGTCCAGGCAGTATCATACCTAGAAAGCCAGGCCTAAAGTCAAGTCTGGCTTCCTTCAAAACTATGATCACACGCCAAGTTGCCACAAGCTACTACTTATTGTAGAGGAGAGAAAAGAATGAAGTTACAGTGATTTGGGAATTGGTGGGCAAACAGCTAACTTACTGGGAGAGGGGAGAGAAGCAGGGAGGCACAACACATCTAAATGTGATGCCAAGTTTAAGTTCTAGGGGGATCCCACAGATGTGCAAGGACTGAGGATGGAGTGTGGGCACTGAAGAGAACCCATGCAGACATTTCTCTCCAACACAGCTGGAAGCTAACATTAGAGACATGAATAATTTGGAGCAAGTAAGAGAAATGGAATGGAAATGGAAAAACCATACAGGGCTGGCAGGTGGGCAAGGCTCTCAGGGCCCTGGTTCCAGGGAGAAGAGAACCCCCAGAATTCTGGGTTGTCTTCTGGGTCCAACTCGCCACGGAGGCAAAAAAAAAAAAAAAAAAAGAAAGAAAGAAAGAAAGAAAAAGGCGGGCGGGGTGTGTGTGTGTTCTGAACCAGCTATTTCCAGCCATTGAAAACACACCTCTAGTCGGCCTCTCTGGAAGGTAAGCTGGGAGAACAGATAGCCAAGGGCTAGGAGTCAAAAGGGCTCTTCATTTGCATTCGCATCTGGTAACCTGGGTCAGGGTTTCCACTGGGTGGGTCACATGGGACAATAATCCTCTCTCCTCTCAGTGTCCCACAGTCAGGGCCAGATGCTCTGCTTTGTCCTACCCTCTGCCCCCATGCACAGGGAGTCCCCACTGGAGGGGTAAGGTCTAGTTATGGACATCCTATGGCTGGGAGCCTCAGACCACCAAAATATCCTCTCCCTCCACCTGCCTCACCAAAAACCTTGTCCTCTGAATAACAATAAAACACTTGGAAAGCCTTTCTCCCCCTTCCCCCACATTCCTCATCCTTCCTCCCATTCCAGGACACAGGGTGAGGAAAGGACACACTCTGGCCTGCACAGGCCTTCTTCTCCCTCTCTAAGCAGAAGAATGGAGTGTGAAAAATACAGTTTATAGCCTCGATGCCAAATAATTTGGGTTTGGCCAAACTTGACTCCCGAAACTGAATATACCTCCCTCATCTCAATTCAGAAAATGCAGACTGTCTAACCCCTTTCCAAGAGGAGTGGGCCTTGCAGACAACCATGTGGGAGAAGAGGACGTAAGTTAAAGTGCTCCTACCTTGGCCTTTGGGGGCGGCCATTTCCAGGTCTGTGGGGCAGTCAGCTTCTCCGTTCATTCTTTGGCCGTCCAGCCACCTCCTCCAGCCACCTCGTTGGGTCGTGCTGGCCGGGCAACCCGCGGTCAAAACCACCTCACCCTTTGGAGAGACACCAGTCCCCACTCAGGCGGGGATGCGAGGTGAGAGACTTTCTATTCCTCCCTCCCCCAAAGGGGAGGGGGGACACAAGTCCACACTCTCTCGCGGAGACCCTGCCAAAACCCTAGCAGACCTAATGGGTCGGAGGGTGTGGGAGTGCGCCCCCCACCCCGCGCTCCCCTGCAGTCCGGCTCCACCGCGTGCGCCCTCCCCTGCCCACGCGAGAGACTGCTCCCAGCTCCCGCGTGCAGCTAGCGCCCGCCCTCCGCCCTCCTTCCCCCCCCCGGGCCAAAAAAAAAAAAAAAAAAATCTCCTCCTCCTCCTCTATGCGCCCGCCCCGGGGAGGCCCCAGGCTGGAGGGCGGGGGAGGAGGAAGGGCGGGTAAAGGGCGCGCGCGGCCGAGAAAGCGGGCACGCGCCGCAGTCTCCTCCTCCCGCCTCCCCCCGGCCGGTTCCCCCCGCCTCCGCAACCCGGCGGGGACCCGGACGCAGCGCAGCCGCCGCCGGGCCCGGAGCGCAGCGGCCGCACCGCCCCCGGGGACTGGATCCGGATTCCCGTCGCCCCCCCTTCCCGGGCTCCCGACGCCGTCCCCGCCCGCCCAGGCGGGCGAGCAGCCGGAGAGAAGCGGCCCAGCCTGCCCCCCGCCCCCGAGCCACCCACCCCGGCCAGAGGCGCCGCCACCGCCCAGCCACCCCGACGCGCACGAAGGAGCCCGGCGCAGAGGCGCGACCACGGCGGGAACCGCCGCCTCCTCCCCCGAGCTTGCGGCCCAGCCCCGCCGGCGCCCCCGCCCGGGCCTCCGGGGAGCCGAGCCAAGGAGAGGGCGGGAGGACGGCGGCCGGGAGGCGGGGGCGCAGCGCGCACCGGCCCCGCCGCCCCCTCCGGCGGCCGGCGAGAACTGCGCCTGCCGGCTCGGAGAAGCGCGGGCTCCTCTGCCTGCGGCCAGGGCTCGGCTGGGGCCTCGCTTCCTGCCCTCCCCTCCCCCGGTTCTCGGCGTCCTCTCCAGTGCCCTGATACTCTTTCGTCCAGTCCTCTGCCTGGAGGGCGCCCCGGGTGCCCCCCGGTGTCTACGGCACCCGCGGTTCGCTACCCGCCGCCCGACCCCGGCGCGCGTCCTCAGCCACCTCGGTTACCCGGCGCGGCGCGGCCTCCGGGCTTCCCGCTCCGGCGGCTCCCTCCCCGGCTCTGAGCGGCGGCGCCCTCCCCCGCTCGGCCGGGCACAGCCGCAGCTCCCTCCCGCGGCGGCAGCGGCTCCTCCTCCGGGCGCGGCGGCGGCGGCGGCGCTGGGGCGGCGGCTGCTGCTGTGGCGGCGGCGGCTGTGGCTGCTGCTGCCTGCTGCTCCTCGCGGCGAAAAGCACAAAGCACAGCGCCCTCCGCCTGCAGGCAGCCCGCCCGCCGCCCGCCCGCCGGCCCCGGCCTCAGCTCGCACACCCCCCGCCGCCGCCGCAGCCTCCGCCGCCGGAGCGGGGAGGAGGAGGGAGAAGGGAGGAGGAGGAGCGGGAGGGGGGGCGGGAGAAGCGGGGCAGCGAGCGCGTCCTTCCCCGTAGAGCGCACACCGACCCCCGGGGAGCGAGCGCCAGCCCGCCCGCCTCGCCGGCTCCGCTCCCTCCCACAGCCTGCCCGGGCGGGCTCCGCGGGGGGCAGCTGGGAGGAGGGGCGGGAGCTGGGGGGACCCGGGCGGCCGAGGCGGAGGGAAGGAAGGAGGGGAGGGGGGTGGTGGTGGTAGTGGTGGTGGTGGTGGCGGCGGCGGCTGCTGCTGCTGCTGCCGCCGCCGGGGAAGGGGGGGCCGGGGCAGGGAGACACGCAGCCGCCCGGATGGCGGCGGGGCTCGGAGCCCAGGCGGGCGGGCGGGCGCCGAGAGCGACCTCGCCAGACCCGCGGGGGAACTAGCAAGCTCGGCCCGCGCTGGAGGGAGGGCGCGAGGCGCGGCCGCAGAGAGGGTGCCCGGAGGCCCCCCGGCGGCCGGGGAGGCTGAGGGGTGCCAGCAGCCCTGCTTCGGAGCTCTCCCCCAAGTCCTCCCAGCTCAGATTCGGGTTTCCACGGCAGTCCTCACTCGCTCCCCTCTCCCGCCTCCTGGAGCGGGCGCTCCGCGCCCACCCTCTTCCCCGGAGCGTGGCCACCGGCTTGGGGCGCACGCACGCCCAGCGCGGCGCCAAGCTTCGGCGCCTAGCTCGCGGTCCCCTGCTGCCGAACAGCACACACACGAAACTCAAAAAAAAAAAAAAAAAAAAAAAAAAAAAAAAAAAAAAATTTTACCCGTACAAAATGCCCTCCCTGCAAATTTAAGGGAAAAAAAAAAAAATCAATCCCCTTTGCTCCTTACACCCCGGAAACAGCAAGGGGGCGATGGGCTTCGGCAGAGGAGCCGCGCTGGGAGCCGGTTCAATCCAGCCCGGCATGGCTCCCCAGGCCTGCCCGGGCGCATGGAGATCGGCGGCGCCGCCACTCGCACAACCCCTCTCCCCCGAAATCCGCGGAACCCGGGCTCACTTACCGAGCGTGTGAAGGGGAGCGCAGGCCAAGAGCACCTAGGGGTGCGGCGGGCCGAAGAGCGGAGCCGCAGCTCCGCCGCAGCCGACGCCGGGGCCGCGAGTCGCCAGACAAAGCCCGAGATGGCGAAGCGGAGCGACGGCTAATGGCGAGCCCCACGCGCCGCGCTCCGCCCGCCCCGCTCCGCCCGCCCGCCCGCCTCGGCGCAGCGCAGCGCCGCTCCGAGCGCTCGCCCGTCAGAGCCGCCTCGGCGCCGCCGCCTCCCGGGCCACCCCGGCCTCGCCTGGCCCCTCCGCCTCCTCCGGGCCACTCAGCCTCACCCCCTTCCCTCCCACCAGCGATGGGGGCTGCACGAAAATAAAAAAAGAAAAATAAAAAAAATGCTTTTCTTTTTTTTTTTTTTTTTTGTGTTGGGGGGCAGGGCGGGCGTGTTGAGACTTTTGGGGTTTTTTGCCCCCAGCTCGCACTCACCTGCGGAGCCGCCGGGAGGGCTGGGGGTGGGGGCGCGCGGGGCTGGAGCCGGCGAGCGCGGGTTGAAAGCTAGCCAAGCTCTGCAGCGCCCGACCCGGGCGTATACGCCGCCGCCAGTCCCCGCAGAGAAATCGTCCTCCTACCCCCGCCTCCATCGCTCTGCGTTTCTCTTCCAATCAGCCGGTCGCTTGGCGGCTCCTCCATTCTCCGGCCAAGCCCGCTGCCTAGAGCGAGCTCCACTCCTCCATCTGCTAGCCCGGCTCCTTGCTCCCCTGCCGGGGCCGGCGAAGCGACGTGGGGCCGGAGGGGGATTTGCGAGGGAACCTGCCTGCTTCCCGCTCCCATTGCTCCCTCCCCGCTGCCTCCTGCCTCCTGCTTCTCTCCTGCGTCTTTCCAACTCTCCCCTGTCGCCACTGGTGTGTGTCTGAGTGTGTGCGCGGGTTTTGTTTTTTTTTTTTTTTTTTTTTTTATTGCTCTTTGCTTTTGCAACCCCGAAGCCAAAGCGAGGGGGTGAGGGGGTAATGGGGGGGTGTTAAAAAAAAAAAAGGCAAGAAAGAAGCTCTTAGATTTGCAACACATTGAAAAACCCGGGGAGCACCCCGCCTCGCCGGATCTCGGCTCCCCGCGAGGGCCTTCCAGGTTTTAGAGCGAGCCTCTCGTCGTTCTCAAAGCCCCTCACCTCCGCCGGGTTTAGGATCCGAGGTGTCCGAGCAAAAAGTTCTCTCCCTGGGCCGCAGCAAGGGGTGTCAGGGTGGGAATTAGGGGGATTTCTCAAGAAGCAGCAGCCATCCCCACCCCCACCCCACCCCCCCCCCCCCTTTCGGTGGTTCGCCTGGGCCGGGTTGGAGAGCCTGATGCCGGTGGGTCTGCGCGAAGGGGCTTCTGGGGCGAAGTGGGAGCCGGGAGACCGCGTTTCGCGCATCTCCCCCTCGGTCTCTGCCTCCTGTCCCCAGCCAGCTCCCCCTTTAATTTCCACCCCCCCTCTCCTTTAATCTAATTTCTTCCAACTCCACCTTTGTTGTTACCGGCGTCACGCCCGGACCAGCCAATCCCCGCCATGCAATCAGCTTGTCAAAAAGGCTTGGCCAGCCCTGGGAAAGCAGGCCGCGGGCGCTGCTCCCCCCGTTTCTCCTCCCTGCGGCGGCGGGGAGCCGCGAGGGGAGCCTGGCACCCGGTCTCGCCGCCCGAGCCGCCGCGGGGCAGACTTCGCGTAGGCCTCCGGCACTCCACCGTCCGGCGGGCCGGGGATCGAAAAGGCCTGGGCGGGGACCACTATCCACCCTTCCACTGCCGTCGGCCGTGGTCGTCCGCCTCTGCCTCCGCTCCTCGGAGGAAGGGTTGTCAGGAACGCAGGGAGCCAGGCGACTGAAGAGCGGCGGCTTCCCACAGGCTCGCCCGCAGTCTGGGCCGTCGATCCTCAGGTAGCCCCACTGCTCCAGGCTTCGGGGGCTCCCCGGCGGCCAGTCTCCCACGCCGACGCTGCTGACTGCCCACATCGCGGCCAGCTGGGTCACCAGCCCCTCTGGACTCTCCCCTGGCACGCAGCCTTTTCCATCCTCACTCAGCGGCCTCCCTGCCGCTGTAATTCCTCCTGTCTCCTGGGAGGAATAAGATTCCTTTCCCAGGGCTTCCACAGCCCACATCTGCCACGTTTTACAAACAGAGAGGAAACCCCTGTTAAGATCTGGTGTGACCGGATTTTTGAGTGTGCAGGGCGCGTAGGAGAGGCCAATTTACCTTGTTGCTCATGAACCTGGAGCTAATGACCCCTCATCTGTGGGACCTGTACAATACCCCATCCTTAATTTTATTTCATCCTTTGGTATGATTTTTGTTAAAGACCCCTGTTCACTGTACAAGTTAAGTCTCCACAAATCCAGGTCTGCCCTTGGAACATACCCAGGGTGTTTTGTGTAGGCTCAATCCTTCTCAGACTGTACTTGGAGAAGGCAGGAACTGCCTTTCTTGTTCTGACGGGTAAAGGGTTTGGAGTCGGAAGTCACAGCTCCCACCTGAGCTTCCCCACCTAAACAGTGCGTGTTTGATCAAGTCTTTTAACCTCATCTGATCCTGTTTCCTTGTCTATAAAAAGAGAATAGCAATCCTGCTTTCTCTGCTTTCCTTCCCAGGGTTGGAGGGTCAACTGAGAGGACAGGTACCTAAACTGTAGAATTCTCCACAATGTCACTTACCACAATTGAAAATCTTAGATCC